CCGTCCACCTCCTGCTAAATTTAGAAAGAGAACTGTTACAGGATGGTAGTGCAGGAGATGTTGAGGGAGTTTGTACGAATGGGCATTAACATGTAGGCTTGCCTAGAACAAGCTTTGCCCACCAGTTGTTAGTTTGTCGGAAGAAACCTGCAAAACATGGAGAGCACAAACTCCATGCAGATACCTAGGGCTGCAAGGCATGAGTGCTAATTACTAAGGTGTCCATGAACAAAGTTCAAGTCTTCAATAGGTACTGGTGAGGACAATTGATTAGTAAGGTCAGGAGGCCACAGGACAAGCCCTGAGATGGTGATTGCAACCTTGCCCAATAATAGGACTTTAAAGCCCAACTCCATGATAAATGTCACCCCGTCCCCACCCTCCCCACCTATCGGATACCTGGATAAAATAACAATCCCTATCTCTGCTGCTTCTGCCATGATCTTGGTGTCTTTTTTTTTTTCAGCAGGCAGAGGCCTTTTGAGTACGGCTGTAGAGCCGCCCGATCACTTGTACCCGCCTCTGAAGGTACTATCTCCCCCTTCACCCCCACAGTGGTTTTCAGGCTCCTCCGTTCCTCTCTGGGGCCCAGGACCATGGCACACAGTGTCAGGATGGAGAGCAGCAGCAGACCGAGGAACGTCCTTACCCACCATGAGTGACACTATGATCAGTGAGGCAGGGAGCGCTGTGCTCTCAGAAGACAGCTGAATTGCTAGTTACATAGTCGATCAAACACATTCTTGTGCTTGATCGTCTGTACTGGAAGGCAGTAGAGACATAAGGAGAACCTGTCAATGCTATCACATAGGGTTTTGTTAGCACCTTTGTGATAGCGATAAAATGAACAAAAATATAATAAAAAGTGTTAAAAACAATAAAATATTTTTTAAAATTTAAACCAACCCTGATGCCCCTGCCATCTGCTCTTCCTTTGGAAAATAGATAATTGCTTGCAATTCCTTGCCGTGTAGGGTATAGCCAACATCAGTGAACCAGCAATACTATTGGATGTTCATTGACCAGGGTCCTCTGAGGATCCAGATGAGGGCTAATGTTCATGGAGCAGAGTGAAGGGGACTGACTGTCTCAGGAGTCATCGGACCTAAAGGGGCAACTTTGGTGAGTATATCTGACTTCACAAGGTAAGGGGAAAACAAAAGCCTATCAGGATGGGTCAGAGGTAGCTGGGCCCTGCTTTTCTATATGAACCCTACTTACATCCTCCAGTTCTTGGGGCCCCGGCTTTCTTTATGAACCCAATATAAACCCTACTTATATTTGATCCTCCAGTTTTTGGGGCCCCGCTTTTCTATATGAACCCTACTTGCATCTTCCAGTTCTTGGGGCCCCGGCTTTTCTTTTGTACATGGCACTCGTTCCAGGTTCTATTTATACCCGATGTTGGCTGTCAGTAAGATATATAATGTGTGATAAAAGTCACATCAGACATTTTAGAAGCTATTTTTAAACCTCATTTAATGAGAGTTTCATCAGCTGTATTTTCCATGCGAGGGTGGACTGGAATGGTGTTTGAGATTGGGGTGGATCGTGCTCTCTTTCCCAAGCAAACAGCTGCACCGGGGCCACAATTTATTACCTTGTTTGTCCGCACCGGACGCGGAGGTCATCCCTCTGGCCAGCCAAGTGACCTAATAGTAGTTTAGAAGGTCACAGCTTAGTTTGCCGGCTCGGGGGCCTAGAGTATGAAAGGGCCTGTAAACATAACTGTCTTTGTTGCTTATGGCAACCAGTCCAATTGCAGATGTCATTTTACCAGGGTTCGAAAATTGACAGCCAGATTGTGGCTGCTAGCGGCAACGCATGAGAACGTTTCTTTAAAACTTTAAAAAGCCCACTTCAATGATTAAAGCTGTACTCCAGGCAGATAAGGAATATATAAATTGAACACCTATGTATTCATTAAAGTGGAACTACAAACTCCTATCCTCTACAGCAGAGGTGGGCAACCTTGGAACTCCAGCTGTGATGAAACTACAAGTCCCATGAGGCTTTGTAAGACTCTGTAAGCTCTGACAGCCACAGACATGACTCCCAGAGACAGATGCGTGATGGGGTTTGTAGGTAAACCACAGCTGGAGGGCCAAGATTGCTTACCCCTACTCTACAGCCAAGGAAGGTGCCATCTTGGCCTCTATTGGGATTACAGTTGCCATGGTGTTACATATGTGAACAGCTATGACACCAGCCATTTCAGGGCTTGAAAGTTTGGTTGAGAGCTGAAATAAGCACACTGACAACCTTGACAGTTGGCTTGCCTTAAGGCCTCGTTCACACCATCCTCGTGGCCGGAACGCACTGGATCGCGTTGTGGCTCAGTTTGTTGTAGCGCGGGAGGGGGCGTGGCGGTCCATTGAAGCGAATGGCACCGTAAAATGTTGCAAGTACTATTTTGACCGGACCACAGGCATTGATGTGCCTTGCGTTCCCGTGTGGCCGATCGCATTGCAGCCGGAGGGCCACGCCCCCTCCTGCCCCACAACATAGTGAGCCTGCCGCAATGTGATGCAGTGCGCTCCGTCCAGAATCGGGCCGGAATGCACTGTCTGGTGTGAACGGGGGCCAATAAAAAGTAACTGTTTTGGGAGACAATAAATTGGTGGGTAAAGTCATTTTTAAGGCCTCATTCACCCAGGTGGCAAAACAGGCATTTTACCATTTTACAAGCTGCTTCCGTGCAACTTGTAAAATGGTGGAGACACGTCTTTTGGAGTTTATATCCCCATAGATGTCAATGAGTGCACATGAAAAATGTACGGAAAAAAATATAATTTTAGCGCATGACAACAAGCCCCCCACCCCATAGCAAACTATACTTTTTCACCTTCAGAGTTTGTAAAGTTTTAAAGTCACCCTGTCACCTTACCCATTTAGTGATAGATGTAAAGGCACACCTCACCCAACCAGTACTACATCTGGAAGGGGGATGACCTTACCCTATCCGTCATGTGACAATGTTCAGGATTAGTGGCTGGCCGCTAAGTCAAGCATTGCATCATAGCGGAGGTCTCATGTTCCTCCGTACCCAAAAGCACCAGGTCGTTTGCTGTTACAGCTAGGAAGATTGGAGTGGTGGGGGGATCCCTGGAAAGGTGAGTGTGGGGGGAAAAGTGGTATGGGGGAAAAGTGGTATGGGGGAAATATTGGAACTTTACTTGAATACATTGTTACTTTTTTCTTGATGGGCAATGTGACGGTTTCTCATTGAGCAACAACAAAGTCCAGATATGAAGCCGCCCTTCTAATGTCCAGACATTCAGATAAGTGGGTGCTTGAAGTAAAAGTGAAGGATGGTGCCATGCCATGACCAGATGGGTGAGTACGAAATCCAAATAAATGCATATCACAAATCTATTGTGAGGATCGTGTCGCACAAGAAGAGTCGTATCCTGGTATGGTGCAGATGGCACATGCCCTGGACGCCACTTGAAGAGGGGGCACCGCTCCGTGGGTCAGCAAAAGTTCGGGGACCACGGAGACGGCTGAGTTTTTTTTCTCTCACCACCCTTCTCCCATACACATTTTCCCCACCTGGCTCTTGGCAACCAGGGATACTCTGGCTGGTGTCCTGCCCAGCACCTGGACCAGTCATGTGACTGGTTGCCAGGAGCTGGGTGGGACGCTAGCCAGAGCATCCCAGCTTTCTAAGCGCCGGGTGGGGAGATGTGCAAGGGCTGTACACATTTCCCCGCTCGGCTCGTAGTTTCAGAGTGGGCAGAATGATGTGTATGCGGGTGAGGCGCCGGCCAGAGTCAGGTCACTGGTTGTCAAGAGCTGAGCGAGGCGCCGTCCAGAGCATCCCAGTTTTCTAAGAGCCGGGTGGGGAGATGTGTAAGGGCCATACACATTTCCCCGCTCAGCTCGTAGCTCCAAAGTGGGCAGAATGATGTGTATGCGGGGGAGATGCCGGCCAGAGTCACGTCACTGGTTGCCAGGAGCTGGGCGGGGTGCCGGCCAGAGCATCCCAGTTTTCTAAGAGCCAGGTGGGGAGATGTGTAAGGGCCATAGACATTTCCCCACTCTGCTCTTAGCAACCAGAGTGGGTGGAATGATGTGTATGCTGGTGAGTCGCGGGCCAGAGCGTCCAAGATTGCTAAGAGCCAAGCGGGGAGATGTGTATGGCCCCTTACACATTTTCCTATCAGGTTCTTAGCAAACGGGGACGCCATAGCTGGCATCTCGTCCAGCTCCTGGCAACCATAAACGTCACAGGATGCCAGGGGTGCAATGTGTTGTAGATACGCATCTGCACACAAGTCAAAAGCTTCCCAATGTTTCAGCACCTCTCAGGGTCCTTTACTTGAAGTGACATAGGGGCCACCATAGTCGCTATGCCACCTTGAGGAAAGGGCCCTGAGAGGCCCCGAAATGCTGCCTTTGGCCTCGCTCACACCTAGGCATTTTGAAGTTCAAAGCTAGAAAACGCAACACAAGGAATCCCATTGTTTTCTGTGACATGTTTCCATTTCCGTTCTTTTACACAAGCTTCTTTTCAGGCAGATTTGAGTGTTTTTGTCCCCATGGACTTCAATAGAAGCAGCTTTGCGCTTCGAGCTACAAAACGCCTCCGTGTGACTGGAGCCTTGACTGTGAGCATGGCAGCAGCTATTACTACTCCTCTTTTGTATTCCACTATATTGTGTTTCTTCTGGTTGCATTGTGCTACAGTACACTCATACTGAAAAAATGCATCTACCGTTAAATCAGATATTAGAGTTATTCTTAGTTAGTTGTGCCTTGCAGGCGATTCCATATCACCCTTGATGTATACAAACAGCATAGTAAGCTCCTTGACAATAAACATATACTGTATATATCTACTGTATGCAGTTTGTTTTGTACATGATGTCCCTCCCTCCTCCCCATCATCCTTACTTGTTGATCAGACTGCTGAAGCAAGTTGTAACCTGCAGACCAGCTCGGGTCTGTGAACCGTCTTCATTCAACCAGCTGCCTGCAAAAAAAGAAGTAATTATATTAATGAGGGCTTCCCTGGGGAAGAATCTGTGACATCAGGAGAGGTTCTTACCAATTACAGGGCTGGGGGGCGGCTCCAGGAGTTCTGTAGAGCTGACTTGTAGGAACACTTGCCAAATGACAGACTAGTAATGTTTGACTAAAGTTTCTGGTGGATGGAAAACGTACGAAATGGAGCGTGATGATGATGGCTCAGCACCAGGTTTGACATCAATGAGGACAGGTTGACCTCCAACGCTGAGATGACCTCTATTGCTGATGCTTTCCTGGACCCGTCTAAGACTGCCTTCCTAGAGTTCGGCCATGGACCACCGTCTTCTTCACAAAGCCAACACTCTCCGGTTTTGGCGCACGGACATTATTCGTTGCATGGCTTCCACCCGGCTGGCCATGACGGTCTGTTTTCTCCTGGGGCTTCGGCCTATGGAGGACGGTCATTCCCATACCCCTATTCTACCTCTGCAGCCAATCAACATCATAATGGGAGCCCATACATGAGCTACCAGCATTACAGTAATACATTTAACCATGGCGGGAGACTACATGAAGACCCCGGTAGGTTATACCATATCGCAAAATGGCATCTTCCGTCTTTCATGCAGAATTTATCTCATTCAATAAAGAATGGAAAAAGCAATGATTAAATGCAGTAACCCATAGTGACCAATCAGATTTCAGGTAATGTTAGTCCTATAACCTAGAGATTCATTTGGATTGGTAGTTGTGGTTTATTGTCTTTTGCAAATGGCTTGCAGAAGGCAATACAAGGCATATTGTATGTATTTATCAGTTTATGTGCTAAGTGACGGGAAATAGTAACCAATCGCAAACAATAAGAGATCATTTCCGAGCAGCCTAGACTGGGCAGGCTGGAGAAAATGAATTTGTGATTGAATGCATACCACATGATTTGATAGGGGCACCAGTATTTACAATTTTATTTATGATGTTATCCACAACTTTTCTTCATTGAATATTGCTGAAAATATATTATTTAATATTTTTTTTATTTTTTATTTTATTAAATGCTAAATGTATATCATTATTTTATATTATTTTATTATTAGTT